GGTGAAGGATTTAAAAACACACAATGGGCCCAGCGGCGTGGCCTAGCGGCTAAAGTTCTCACCTTGAACATTCCAGGATCCCATATGCGCGCCAGTTCTAATCCTAGCAGCCCCACTTCCCATCCAGCTCCCTGCTTGTGGCCTGGGAAAGCAGTCAAGGACGGCCCAAACCCTTGGGACCCTGCATGCATGTGGGAGACCTGGAAGGAGTTCCTGGATTCTGGCTTCGGATTGGCATAGCACTGGCCATTGTGGCTCATCTGGGGAGTGAATCATCGGACGGAAGATCTTTCTCTCTGTCTCTCTTCCTCTCTGTATATCTGACTTTCCAATTAAAATAAAATAAATTTTAAAAAATATAATAAAATACAGACAAAATCCAGCAGCAATCTTCTATATAGAGAATAAGCACCATGTGGGCTGAACATTTTTGTTTTGTTGGTTTATTATTCTCTGTTTTAATTAGATCTGCTTGAGAGGTGACTTATACAAAAGAAGGAACTCATCAAGCCATCAGCATATGTATTGCAACAGCATTGTCCAATAAATCTTTCTGCAGCTGTGGACATGTTCTGTGTCTGACATAGTGCACTAGCCAGTACACATGTTGCTACTGAGTGTTTTAAAATGAACTATTGAGTTGACTATTAAGATCATTTAACTTTAATACATTTTTAAGTAACAAATTGTGACTTGGCCACATATATTGGCCACATATATTGGACAGCACAGCGTTACCAAGTTCTTCCCAGAAGGGTCCCAAAAGGCAATGTAGAGCACTTAGAGTAGGATACTTCAGTGAGAGTTTATTTAAAAACAGACTTTGTTGGGCCTGGCGCGGTGGCGCAAGTGGTTAAGGTCCTCGCCTTGCACGCCCCGGATCCCATATGGGCGCCGGTTCTATCCCGGCAGCCCCACTTCCCATCCAGCTCCCTGCCTGTTCCCCGGGAAAGCAGTCGAGGACGGCCCAAAGCTTTGGGACCCTGCACCCACGTGGGAGACCCAGTAGAGGCTCCTGGCTTCGGACTGGCATAGCATCGGCCGTTGCGCTCACTTGGGGAGTGAATCATCGGATGGAAGATCTTCCTCTCTGTCTCTCTTCTCTGTATGTCCGCCTTTCCAATAAAAAAAAAAATAAATAAATCTTAAAAAAAAAAACAGACTTTGTCTAATTGTGTACAAAGCTTTAAAGGGATCAGCAAGTGATAATGTGATTAAGTGCAAATAGTTACATAGGATCAATGGTGACACAGAATTAATGGAAAGAATTATAGTTATGACCACATTGACCACATGAGGTGTGAGCCTCAGAATGGTGTGCATAATGTGAAACTATAATTTTAATGACACCTAATGAATCAAGCCCTTGCTCAGACATGTTCTTTTCTGTTAGCATCCTTCCTGGCGGTTTTACTCATTGTTGTAGAATGTGATTGCTTTTCACGAATTGCTAATCCATGGCGTGTTTTGCCAGTGTCTTCTCTCTGCCACTCCAGTGTAAGTGGTCTCTTTTTCTATTAGCAGGGCTGTGTTCACTTACTGATGCCTTCTACCAAGGATTCCTTTAAGAAGAGTCCTCTTTTCTGAGCACTTGGGAGGTGGGCAGTTTTGTCTGTTATTTGTGACTGTGTTTTAATATCCTTCCCTTTCTGTCCCTTACATCAGCTCACAGTTCACCTTTAGTCCTAGCTTGTTGCTTGATGATTTATTCAGGCCTGAAAAAAAAGATGGAAGGAGAGCCTTTAAAAAGAATGGAGATATTTCTCTTGGGATTATTTATATGTATGCCATGGAAGAAGAAGAAAGAGGCATAAAATGTCTTGACTGAATAAGATAAATAGGACATAAATCCAATAAATGACTGGAGTTGAAGGGAAAGGTGATGGTAGTTGGGGTGGAGTCGAAAGGGAAAAAAGAAAGAACTTTACACTTTGTGTAATAATGCGGTTGATTGGCATCTAGAGAACAAAATGTCTTTGACCCAAAGAAACATTTTAAACTAAGGTTAAATTCTGTTAGAATTAGGGAATCATCTTTACTGTCCTTATTGAATCTCTTTATACTGTCACCTCCTGTCATCCTTTATTAAAGTTTTGTATGCTTCTGCTGCTAGTTCTGAGAAGGCTGACATCTTTTACTTGTTCTGATGAATCATTCCACCAAAGAAAGCAAGTTTTTACAGCCAACACAACACAGTATTTTATTATTCCATAATACATTTCCATAGGCTTCAGGATTCCCCTTTACCCCTTCCCAAACCCCCACCTCTCCTGCCATTGATTTTTCCCATATCATTACGATAGTATAGTCTTTCAACAAAACTCATAATACCATCATTCTGCTATTTAAATGTATTCTGACATTGCAGGTATGGACATTGGCGGAGAGTCCAGCATTCAATTGTCAAGATATATTTAACATTTTCTTTGTGAGTCCATCTTTGATTTGGAAGTAGAGATGCATACTGCTTTGTTTCTTCATGTCATTGATATAAAAGTCTCTATTATACAGGTGCTCTAGATGTGCATGCAATTTTTCCTATATATCTGTTGATCTTGTATTCTGCATGACTGTTGCCTTATATCAGAAAGAACATATAATATTTGTCCTTTCATGATTGAATTATTTCACTAAACATAATGGTCTCTAGTTGGGATCATTTCGTTGTAAATGGTAGAATTTCATTCTTTTTAATGGCTGAGTAGTATCCCATAGACAAGACATACCACGGTTTCTTTATCCATTCCTCTTTGCATGGACATCTGTGTTGTTTCCATGTCTTTACTATTGTAGGTTGTGCTGCAAATAAAGAAGTATAGTTCACTTTCTCATACGCAGCTTTCATTTCCTTTGGATATATTCCCAGATGTGGGATAGCTGGATCATTCTGATTTCGTGAAGTAGAAAGAGATACAACAAAGAGTGACGCTATATGAGACTATTGAATGACACTAGGTAAAACTAGAGACTGATATTCCATGTGTATCTGCTAATGCCATTGCCTTATGTAGTGATGAATTCACTCTTTCTGTTTACCACTGCTAGGTTGGAGAGTGTTGTGTAGCAGTTGTGACTGTGCCATCATGTTTATCTGAATAATTGTCAGCATTTCTCTAATAGCTAGAATTCAAACTGTGCTAGTTATTGTAATCTGTTTTAATTTAGTTATCTCCCACCTCTGCCATCCGTTTCTCCCCCTCTTACTTCATTAGACATAATTTCCAGCAGGCACACATTCCACAATCTTTTTAAAAAATAAAATGTACTAAAGTAATTAGTGATGATTGTGTCTTCCCATAGGAGACATGTGGAAATGTGTGGAGCCAGTTTTTGCTTGCCATGATTTGTAGGAGTTGGTATTAGAATTTAAGTAGCTGTAGATGCACTGATGCAAAGTGTCTTGTAGTTTATTTGCTGGTCTCAGAGGATGGTCATAGATTGATATTGGTACTGAAAAAAAGTCTAGACACGACTGAATTTTAGGCAGCAGTCAACAGTTATTTCTAACAGGGTTCTTCAGCTATGCCTTGAGAGCTAAATGCTAAATAATTGCAGTCTGTAATAGGCCATCCTCCTGGCATATAGTAGGCTGCTAATACAACTAATGAAGTTATTCATGTGTGTAATAATAAACCCCATGCAATATTACCTATGTAAGATGGTATCATAAGTAGAGAAAAATTCCAGACATACTTGTAAGTATCTGGATTCAAATAATGTTGTAGTTGTGTTGAGTATGCACAGAATAAGTATAATTAGAAATGTTCAAAATGCTATTGGAAAAAAGAAAAGTAAGAATTTATCTTTGAGAAGGGTTTTTGGAGACATTTTTGGTAGAAACCACTGAAAACTAGGTAGGATTTTAAGTATTATTTTGGGAGATGTTGTCTTATACCAAAGAATAATTTATGTATAAATTTAGGGAAGGAGATGGAAAAATGTGGGAATGCTGTTGTTATAAATATAGTATCAAAAAATATGTGACAGGAGATAAAACTAAAAATGCAGTTTATATTTTATGTAAATAGATATTTTAAAATTCTTGCTTAGGAATATTTCCCCTTCAAGATATGGAATTTTGTTTGTGTTTAGTTATTGGAAATAGTGAATGGCCTGCTGCCCAATGATTTATACATAACTAAGTATCCTTTTATTTGCAGTTTAGCCTGTAAAATACCTCAGTTATCAGCTGCCTAAACTTGCCTTCCTGATTTTCCAGGTGGTTTCAGAGCTTTCAGTTTATTAAATTAAAGAGCAGCAATTTTTCTAATTTGAATCACATAGTGAAATTTACCATATCACGGAAAAAAAATGATTGTTTCTAATCCATTTGTCTTCCACACAAATAATTTGTAGAAAATACCAACCTAGGTGTCTCTCTCTTGTCTTAATAGCCTAAAGAGTTAGGTTAATAATATAGCAGAGAGAATTGTTCTGCCCCCAAAATGAAAAGGTATTGCAGAAATTATCTTTTAAGAGCTAAAAACAGCATGCAGTTCTACTTAAAACAATTTGTTCTTGGAATATTGTCAGCTAAAATTGTGGTCAACTTTTGCAAATTGTATGAATTTGCACTGCATATTTTATTTAGTGTTTAGCAAACTCAAATATGGCTTTGCATAACTTACACAATACACTATGAAAATGACTTCAGAAACTCCCACAGAAGTTGACAAATTGGGCATCTAATGCTTTTAAGCTAATTGCATGCTTTGCAGTTAAAGAGTTGACTTGTTAAGAAAGAAGATCAGACTTTCTCAGAGATAATGCTGTGCCTGTTTGCCACACTGAATATAAGCCAACCCTATATTGGATATATTAAAGAAGCTTAAAGAAGAAAATAGTGTGAACTTTAATCACCATTCTACTTACTCTTAAGTGAAATGCTCATGAATCATATGCAATGTCCTAACTGTTGAGAAACCTATTCTTGAATTTCCAAGCTGTTATTTTCAGGAAAATTAGAAAGCAAATCGCTGTCTCATTTTTCTTCCCTGCAGACTGGAAAAAAAGAAAGGAGCAATACCCTGAATATTGCCATCGACAATATGTGTAAGAAGACAAGGGACCTTCGCCGACAGGTAAACAGATAGAAAGACACAAACACACACGCAAAATCAAAATTTTACTAATGGCTAAGGTATTTATATGTTGTTTTGCTCATGGAAAATTGATTTAGAATGGGAAACAAAAATACATATGTGCTTTGAATACTTACATACTGCAAACATTTTAATGGCAATCATAGTAGTAGAAATAACATTTGCCAAATATTATACAGAAATACATTCAAATTGTGTTCACTGTGGTTGGTAGCACATATACTAAAATTGGAACAATACAGAGAGAATTAGCCTGGTTCCTGTGCAAGGATGACATGCAAATTTATGAAGAATTACATTCAAATCTTGGCTCTTTTCTGAACAATTCTAAGATCCTGGGATGGGATTGCATGTCTTTGAGTGTTTTTGACATGTAAGATGGAATTAATACTTGGTAACAGGGCTATGAGGATTAAATGAATTTTGTGCCTGATATGTAGTTCATTTCAAAGAGCTATTGGTGTATTTACTCTGTTACATTAAAAACTAAATTTGTTATCCAGATGCTTATGGAAAACAGCTGATAATTCATAGATTTGAATGTTTTCACGTTTGTTTTCAGGGATTTAAAATATAAGCTTTTATTAAAATCAGTTATATATTTTAACCCTGGGTCATCTGGGACACAGCACTAGAAAAGGTTTCAGGAAATGGCTTAGACATCATTATTATCTCACACATTAATTTGTTTTCCAGAGACATGGAAACTTACTTATTTTCAGAGACTTTTGCTTTTATTTCCTTTCTGCTATTTAACAACCACAGTTCTTTTTCATATACAGTTTTAACTCAGTCACCATTAACTTGTATAAAAGAGGCAATAAGCTTCTCAAACAAAAGCTTTGATGGAATGTGTTACTGTAATTTAATGGGAAAATTTAGTAAACTGAATGTGCAATCATTTAACTCAGAAGTGGATATATAAGTATAATAAATAGTAATCACAAGCCTCAATGTTAGCTGTATGAAAACTGAAATTACAAGCTGTGAAATTCCAAGTTTCTTGACTATGACCTTAATATGAATTCTGCTACTGCCAGAAGAACCAGAGTCACAGGATTTAAGAGATGGAAAGAACTTAACACAATCTTTTTATTTTGCAAATGAGAAAGCAGGCCAGTTTGGTAAAGGAAGAACTACAAACTCTTATCTACAAGGCATCTTCCTGAACTTCTACCTCATTATTCTAGGACTTGGTACTGTCATTTCTGTTTCTTTCTTCTACATTGACATCAACAAAGTTGTCTGTTAAGAGCTGCTCTGCTGCTATCCAGCATGGTGGCCTAGTGGCTAAAGTCCTTGCCTTGTGATCTTTCTGTCTCTTCTCTGTAAATCTAATACATGCACACATGCATACATACATACATCTTTAAGAGCTCTTCTGCTGGAGCTCAACTTGCAATAGCTAGAATTTGGAGTCAACCATCTGTCCATCAATGGATGACTGAAGAAAATGTGGTATATATAAACAATGGAATACTAACCAGCCATAAATGTCTGTCTTTAACAATAAAATAGATGCAACTGAAAATGATTATGTTTAGCAAAATAAGCCAATCTCAAAAAGACAAATATCTTTACTCTGATATTTGGCAGTTAATATAGAACACACAAAAAGTTATAGGAATGAAATTGTCATTTTGGCATATGAGTGTTGTTTATAACTCCTACTCCAGAGGCGATGTGGTTTTGTGGTCCTTTTGCTTTTATTTATTGAATATTATGACTTGTGGCAAATTAAGCCTGTGAGTATAGAATGGATTAAAATTGTAGACTGTGTTGGAACCTGTGCCATAGCATAGTAACTAAGTTTCTGCCTGAGTGCTGACATCCCATATGGATGCTGGTTCGTGTCCCAGCTAGTTCACTTCTTATTCAGGTCCCTGCTTCTCCTGGGAAAGCAGCAGAGGATGACTGTGTTTGGGCCCTTATCTATGCCCATGGAGGAGACCTGGAAAAAGCTCTTGGCTCCTAGCTTTGGGTTAGCACAATTCCAGCCATTGCAGCCATTTTTGAGGTGATTCATTAGATGGAAGATTTCACTCTGCCTCTCCTCTCTGTAACTTTATCTTTGGACTACAAATGAGAACCAATCTTTAAAAAATTATGTGTGTGCAAATGCTATTTAGAGAGGGAAAGAAGAAAGAACTAGGATTGTTTTATACTCAAAAGTTCCAGAATATTTTTTGTGGTTGCAGTAATTGTTTTTCTTTTTTTCTAATTCTCATAATTTTTTCAGATTTTAAATTTTTAAAATTATTTTGTTTTTGTTTGATGGTTTTTACATAGTTGATTTGGGTGATAAGGGTCAAGGGCTACAGAAAGATGGATGAAATCAACATTTCCACATTCTTTTTTTTTTCCTTCCTGTGTCTGAGGGAAGATGGGAGATAAGGGGAGAAGCCACACGCAGCCTCCCAACCATCCCTGGGTCCCTGATCTGGGGCATGCTCTGAGGGTCTTGCTCAAGAGGTTTCAATAGTTCAACAGATCTGAAGTACTGCCAATCTAGCCACTACAATCTCTCCAGAATCCATTGGTTGATGTAGTCCACCTTAGAATCTCCATTTGCCCAGATATTCACTGCCAACACTTGGCTACAGTAGTTGATCAATTAGGTCTGTCCTCTGTCCTCTGTTATGGTACCAGGTATCCTCTGCAGACTCCACCATACCACCATATCCTCCATGTGCACCTAGTCATGCCATCCACTGTTCCGTCTAAGCCACCAGGGAGGCCCAGTTTTGACATGCACTCCACAGTCAGACCATGGAACTCGAAATTCTCTCCATGGTTGGGGTTCTGAGTCCCGCAATTCAGCGTGGGGGAATCCCCAAAGAAACTTCATTTGATGTGATCCTAGACCTATTGTGTGCATTTGCCAGTGAAGGGTCTGGCACAGTCTGTCACCCCAATCAGCTTATGTATATGCTGGTGGTTGCAACTGCTAGGTCAGTTCTGCCTCTAACCTTGTCTTCTACACAAACCAATAGGTGTTACAACACAGCCCAAAGCTGCCCACCACACATTCGGCCTTCTCTAAACCAGTGGGAGCTGCAGCCAGAAGCACTGTCCCTGCTGAGCCATGTGTGAGCTGTGTCTGGGTGTGGACCAAGCTTGGCTAGGCTGTAACACATGACAGAAAGAACCTGAATGGGTTGAAGGCCAGTCAGGAAAGGCCACTGTTCCTGCTAGGACAGGAGGTTGAGTAAGTAGGATTGTCACATTGATCCACCAATGGGCATGAGATTTTGCACTGGGAGATGTTCTGATAGAGGAGTTTGGGAAACTCCTCTGTCAGGACACAGTCCTTGCAGGTGAGCTCAAGAATTACAATAGGGTGCATCCTGGACCAGGATAGGGAGTGTTACCCACCAGCATACATTTGGTGCAGGTGCGGGACAAACCAGTTCACATCATCTACTCAGGAATCTGAGCACCAAAATGGAGTGTGAATCAGGAATCTGAGCACCAAAATGGAGTGTGAATCGGACAGGATCAGGTCACAATACCAACTAGTTCACATGAGGACCAGGACTAGGGGCTGGCTAGACTGGGCTAGGCTGTAATCCACACAAGGATAAGCTGGAATCGAGGTGGACTAGGACCGGCCAGGCTGTAGCACCCACTAGCAAATGCCAAGTTGAGGCAGGCCATGCCAGATTGGGCTGCAGCACCCAACCAGCACATGTGAAACCCAGGAGAGAAGGGAACAAAGCTGGTAGAGGGGCTGCATGGGATTCTTCTTGAGTTGCCACTCCAAATGGTAAGCATGAGAACCAGGACTGCAGAAGGCATAACTAGATAGAGAGTAGCACCCCCCAGCATGTGTGTCAGCTGGATAGTGGAGCTGGTTGGGTTGACCAAGGCTTCAAGGCCCAATGACATGCATGAGAGCTCAGTGAGATGTGGGACAGACTGAACAGTCTGCTGTACATACTGGCAAGCATAGGAACTAGCACAGGGGGTTGGATTGGTGGGTATTCTTGCAGGTTGCTCCGACTAGTAATTGTTTTTTCTGGAAAAAAAAATAAAGTTAAGTAAAAGCAACTCCTCATGTATTAGTTAACCAAATTTAGCAAGCAAAAACATGAGATGACCTGTTAAATTTAAATTTCATGTTAGAAACAAACATTTTAATTTAATTTTGCCACAAATATTGTGTGTGGAATGCATGTATATATATATTTTTTCTAGTTTTAACTTATGATACAGTTTCATAGGCTCAGGGATTCCCCTCCCCTCTCTCCAAATCTCCTCCCCCCACTGGTTTCCCCTATATTATTACAATAGTGTAGTCCTTTCAAAACAGTCATAAATCCACCGTTCTATTTAAGTGTATCCTGCCATTGTAGGTATACACAATGGCGGACAGTCCAGCTCATATTTAAGAAATAAGTTTGTTTATTTGAAACTGAATTAACTGCACACTAGTGTTTTGTAATCCCACTGTTTCCACCTCATTACCATTCATGAGTTACAGGAGTATCGTAGATGACTATTATTTTCATCATAGGAGACATTTCAGGTTTGTAGAGAACTACCACGTTCTGGAGGTGTGAACATTCCATGTGGTGTCATAACTGTTCATTGTTTTGGTTTTCTATTCATTTGTAATAAATAGCCACATACAACAGCCATCGTGATTCCATCCCATATTCCATGGCTTGCCTGGGAATTGACAATGCCAATTCTGTATTATTTTCACTTGTGATTCCCCCTGTAGTGATTGTCAGATAGAGGTGACTGAGGATCCTGTGTTTAAGGGTTTAGTGCTTTAGCCCATCCTCTCTCACCATGTAGTATCTAATCTAGTTTTTAACACAACAGCTACTTTACTGAAAACTGAAAGTGCTCATATTGCTATTGTATTATACATATTAACATATGCATTTTATTTCACTAAAGGCATGTTAGAATTTTATTGCTGCATATTAAGAAAAAATGTCTTATAAAAATGCCAAAGTAAGGATGTCAAATAAAATGGAGGTTTCAGAAAACAAACAAAACAAAACAAGATTATTTGCTGAGTTGCTGGATAGCTACACTTATATTTTTTGCATCTTGCACTACCAGTTCAACACTCAGAAAAAAATGCATTTGTGCTTTTTCCTCATAGTTATCATTCTTGTCAAATAACATGAAGTATCCACAAATATAAATTCTATTAAATTGATGAAGAATGTGTGTGCTGAATTATTAGCTGATACAGTTCCTGTGATGAGTCAACTAAGCTTTGGAAAGCTTACTTTGCTGTTTGACTTAAAATTAGAATGACATTGGTATGCACAAATGGAAGTCTTTTAAACCCCTGGAGGATGATTTTCTAAAACACTTTCCCTTCTTTCTTTTTCTCTTCCCCTTAGAATTTCATCTTTTTTTTTTTTTTGGTCTATTTGTGTTGGTTGTAGGCATTTTTTTTTCACTTTTTGATTTCAATTGTAGAGAAATATATTATTTCATTTGGGATCCCAAACCATTTGTATCAGTGGGAAATAGAAAAATTGATATCTCAGAAACCTTTTATTAAACTGTAGTGATAAAAGATGGAATGTTCCTCAGTTTGGTTTTCTTCTGACATCTTTCATTCCTGGCTACAAACAGGTATTTATTGAAAATACATATTTCTAACTCCTGTGGGGCTCTCACTAACTTGAATTTTTTAGTGCTAACTCTTCTATTTCTACACTGTCATATTGCATTCTCCTTTCAAGTATCCCCCACACCTCTGCTTTTTCTCATCCAAAAGAAAGGAAAGCTCTATGACATACCACAGCAAAGTATAATGAAAACATAACATATAAGTAGTGGCACAGATGTAGATGTAGATGACTGTACCATGTGCTTGAAAACAATTTCCCATACGAATATGTCAAAAATGTAATAAAATGTTTTACCACAGCACTCTATCCCTTTCATACTTCATATCTGTGTGTTTCCATTCCTATTTCATATTTCCCTTTTCACCATCAGCATAATACAAACATAACAGAACCACACCCTGTGGTGCACAAAGTAGAAGTGTCCGAGTGTTCTCATCACTGATTGGGTTATGTCATATGTTGGAGTCTGTTGCTTGGTGCATGAGCAAATAACTTTAGCACTAGGTGAAGTGCTTGTTTCAGATTGAGTTCCTGAGAGTGGAGCCCAGCATTTGGACTTTAGTGCAGATGATTTATTCGGGGAGATATTGTCAGAAGCAACTAAGAGAACAGGAAAGGTAGCACAGGTAAAGAAAGAGGGTTATGCTATTGAGATAATGGATGTAGACAGCAGGAACTTTAGAATCCATGGCAATCAGCAGAATGTTTCCCAGAGTTGTGTAACTAATGGCCAGGGATTAGAAATTTTATCCAATAGATCATCTCTATAAGTGTTTTTCCCAAGGTGTGGACTTTACAGAAATTCCAGGCTGGTTTGCTTAGGATTAGAATCTCAGAGACCTCAAGCAGGACCTGAGACTGAATAACAGGGTGAGGCATGGGATGCACCCCAGAGAAGCAGGTGGATCAGAGACAGGTTTGGATAAGATATAAGGCATCAAAAGCCTCTAATATTATTCATAAACATAGATATCACTATGAAAGTATTAACAAAAATTAGCAAGTCAGATAGCGTTTGGTGATAAAATGATAGGATGGTTGAATTAATTATGCTGTACGCTGTATGCATGGGATAAGGTGCTTTGAGTGCCTCCTGTCTGTGTGTCCACTCTTTCTTAAAGGTTTTACTCACATCTAACACAAATCAATGATTTCTGACCATTTCCTTCTGTCGTGAGACAAAAACATCATGAAGGTTTCACAATGTGAGAAGACAGTTATTCTCCGTCTGTCTGGAGTTTTGCTTTGTTGAGGAATTGCGAAATAGGAGTAGGGGAGAGAAAAAAAATCAGAGGGAGAGCCTGCAGGCAGACTTCTGGTTCATTTTTCAGAGTTCCATGAAATCCCAGTGGTACGGCAGCTGGAAGCTGGGGACTCGATCCAAGTCTCCCACATGGGCAGAATAACTCAATCATTTGAACCATCACAGCTGACTCCCGGGTTCTGCAGTGACACTCCTGGGTGGGATTTGGGTGTCTTCACTGCTAGGCCAAGCACCTCCTCCCAACCATGTTCCATAAAGTGTTTTATAGGTATGGTTGCAGATAGGGCCTTTAGCAAACTCTCTTATGTGAAAAATCCCTTGTTTACTACATGTGTCAGTCTAACTAATTCCAGGTCTTGTTTCTTGTCAGTCAAGTTACATAAAGCAAGAATTTACGCCCCCTGTCGCCACCTGCTTGTTTTCCATTTACTTTTCTAACCATAGCAATAGGATTCCTGCCTGGTTTTCCACTGAAACTGCTTATACTAAGGCCATCAGTAATCTCAAACCCAGTAGACAACTCTCATTTTTCTTTACTTATCTTTATAATTTGATTCTGAAGCCTTTTCTTTTCTGAAAATATTTTTTTGTCTGTCAGTATACTGGTTTTCCTTTATTATAATGACTCTTACTCCTTTACTAGATATAAGAAACCATGTATTTCCCATTTTGACATTTCTCACAATACTTTGCTTTTTTGATAGAAAGGCGATGAAAGGTGTTCAGGAATATTTATTTGATGGAATGAAATTATATACACAGAAAAGAATATTCAATAAAGTTGTGATGTGGGGCCCAGTGCGATAGCCTAGCACAAACTGGGATCCCCTAGGGGTGCCATTTCTATCCCGATGGCCCTGCTTCCCATCTAGCTCCCTGCTTGTGGCCTGGGAATGAAGTCAAGGATGGTCCAAAACGTTGGGGCCCCTGCACCCAAATGGGAGACCCAGAAGAGGTTCCTGGCTTCAGATTGGCTCAGCTCTGGCTGTTGTGGTCCCCTAGGGAGTAAATCAGTGGACAGATCTTCCTCTCTGTATATCTGACTTTCCAATAAAAAAAACATAAATCTTTAAAAAAAAAAAGTAGTGATCTGGGAATTACAAGTTTGTTTGGTGGGAAAGTACATTTTCAAAATGGTGATACAGAGATTTATTGGAATTTTATATTTTAGTGTTTGATAACTTATTTCCTGTGTCATGACCATCGTCTCAGTGTCTGTGAATCTGACATTTCTATCTGCGTGACTCTCTTGGATGCTGTGTTTTTTTCAAACTTCGTTCTTGGGTATCACTTCAGTGTGTACCCCTCTGACTATGGGGTTCCCATATCCTTCCATAGGCAGGCTCTCAATGTCACTATCCGTAGAGCTGTCTCTTTCTATGTGTTCCTGGTATCAATGGAAGAAAAATGGGAGAGGGATTTTCATTTCAAAGCATTTCCTGAGTGATCCTTCTACTTTTCCCTCCTTTGCTTGAAAGTCATAGAACCTATAGTTCCCAGCTCATGTCCTAATGAGTGACCTCCAGGCTGGCACCTCTGGTCCACTCCTTATACACAGAAAGCACAATATTTATTCACTGAGGGCCTGCCTGGTAACCCTTTAGCACTCTACATTCTGGCCTAATAACTATTCAGTAGCTATTAATCTGTTACTATTACTGATTAACCTACCTGCATGCTTACTAGAATCTTTCTTGGGACTTTTTCCACAGTCTTTTTAACATTGCTGTAACTATAACATTTTGCAGTTCTTCTGAGTAGCTTCTTGGCCAGATACATATTTCTTTGCCTAGATTCATAATCCTCTGATTATTGTAGGAAAGTAGTACTTTTAAAAATGTAGCTCTATCATTCAACTCTTTGAAAATATGTTACTGATAATTCTCACATAATGTAAAAGTAGGCTATGTATCCACTAGTTTTAAAAGAAAACCCTAAAATGTAATTTTCAAAAGAATAATTATAATTTGACTGCCTGATAGCCATTTATCTTTTAACTTTGTTGTATAAAGATTGTGAAGCTAAATGAGGAGGTTGATTCAAAAAGCTTTGGATCTAGTCATAATCATTGACATTGTTAATGGAACATATCAGGATTTTGTAATATTTAAAAGCTCAATAGTGAATAAATACAATGAATTAATTTTCCAATGCAGTTTTAAATCTCAGAAAGTATCTGCCAAATACAGTAATTATCTGATTGTCATTTATAAGCTTACATGTAATCTAATTTACAGGAACTCATTGTAGCAGAATGTTAGACTTGTTTAATAATTTAAGGTGTGAGGGCAAGAACAATTAATGCAAATGGAGAAAATTGGACATCAGATTCATTTATTATTCTTCCTGCTCTATTAATCTGTTATCAACTGGCATAATTGGTGATCTTACTTGGTTTAATTACCATGAAGTCTACAATTTAGCTAATCAAAATTTATCATCATTTCCTTTAACAAGGTGGAAACATTTTATAATTTGCAATTATGAAAATACAGGATGTTCAATACTGTTTGTACACATGCACAGTTTAATCCTGCAATTTGTTGAGAAAAATGTAGCATTACCACTTATAAAACGACTTTAAAGCTAAGGACATTGTAAGAAAAAGTATTGATATTTTAGTGTAAGGAGAATTTTGCTAGAGGGTAATTTTCCTTAAATATTTTTACTTTTTTAAAGAGCATTGTTATGCAGTCTTAAATATTATGCTTTTAGAATAATTTACAATATGTAATTAATTTCATAACCACATAAGAATAGGTGAAATAAACTATTTCTTAAAAGAACAAACTGAATTTTTTGAAATTTCTCTTCAGCTACGCAAGGCTATTATAGATCATGTGTCAGACTCCTTCTTGGATACGACAGTCCCACTTTTAGTCCTCATCGAAGCTGCTAAAAATGGCCGAGAAAAGGAGATAAAGGAATATGCTGCGATATTTCATGAACATACTAGCAGACTTATAGAGGTAAGTGTACTAGATCCTTATCTACTTTAAATTTTTGAAAATGAGGTTCCCATTCTTGATTTACAGCTGAATTTTATTCAAAAACTTTCTTAAAATACATTACAAATGTAGCAGAGGTAAGCCAATTTAATATTAACAGTGTATGTGTCTAACAATGTAAGTTATCTTACCTTCACTTGGAAAAGAAAGTTTCCTTAGAAAGAGCTACAAATTATATTCAATAATTTTTTTGATTCGTGTTTTATACAGGGTCACAGAAAAGAACTGGTTATTTGTAACATCTTCTCATTCTGACTTACACAGACCAAATATTCTATTGCTCTTACTGTTTCTCTGCCATCTTTTAGTGAGTGTATTAGTCCCTCTGCCTTTGAAACCATGTTCAGTTGTTTATCATGAGTAAGGATGAGAATGGCAGGGGTAGAGGAAGTCATAAGTAATTAAGGTAGTGGAATGGTCCATTTTCCAATAAGGATAAAGGAGGTGATCAAACTGTAGTCCCCTCTGCTTGGAAATTGGAGATGGGGGACTGTCGTGTGAATTGGGGAACAGGTGATACTGCTAAAGGAGTCAGGAAGAGCCGGGAGATTTCCAGGAGGCTTGGCAAGTCATTAAGTCATGAGCATCTATAACACAGCTGCAATATGACAGATGGCCTGCGTGGAAGACTATCTAACATGAGTACTTACAAAGCAAGGAACCGGGGGCAGAGAAGAGGAAATCTGAAAATTTGATGTGCCAGATTTACTAAAGCTGGTGCTTGTCAATATGATTACCAGGTTTAGGTGTCTCTCCTAAATGGCTGGAGGAGGGATTTTTTTAAATAATAATTGGTTCACATGATTATGGCAGCTAAGGAATTGCACAACAGGTTGTCTGGAGGCTGGAGGCACAGATGTGCTGGTATGTGGTCCCATCTGAAGACCTCAAATCCAGGGTGCAACTCTTGGCTCATGCTGTCAGCCAGGGGTCACTGGTGCAAATCCTGGAGTGCACAAGCCAGTAACGTGATTAGAGCAGGAGTTAAACATGTCGCTGTTCAAAGGGAAAAGCCAATTCTAACAATTGATGGTACTAGCCCACATGCTGCACTGTCACAGACTTGTCTAAAATAATGCTTTTTCAGCATTCCTCAGTCCAGTCAATTGGATGCTACAAAATTAAATGTCATAATGTCCATGCCATATGATGTATTAGATGTTTTGACTGCTGCATCTCCCCATACCTGCCATAAACTGTGATGAAATGTTTTTTGTGACCCAAATAGATTATAAAACTTGTGAGTGAGAAATAATCACCACCTGAATTAGTGTCACACAATTTGACATAGTATCCACTATGAAAAGGAGACTTTCCTGGCATCTTTAATGTGAATCCACTAGGAAGGGGTTTTCTAATGTAGCTAGTATTTGTCTTGTGAACTCTGCATCTAACTCACCGTAACTAGAAAATGAAAGGAGTGAATGGATAATTGAAAAGATCACGTGGGACTGCCTCTCTCTGAGCTTTAAAATCTGCTTTGTACTTCCAAAATTTCTGTCAGATAAGACAGTTCCAACAGACCTTATGTGAAACTGAACATATAAAGGCACCAGGCATTGAGTTGGAGCCAACTTCTGAGCTTGTTTTCTAAATAACTGATTTAATTACCTTTGTTAATATTTTGTCTAGTATGTATTCCTTTGTGTACCCATCCCTCAAATTTTTGTTCATGTATTTACAAGGGAATGATAAAAGTAACAAGGCAGGGCTAGGCATGTGGCGTAGAAGTTAACCCTCCATTTGGGAAACCTCTGTCCCATGTTGGAGTACCTGGTTCCAGTCCTAGATTCTTCAGTTCCCTATCTGGCTTTCTGCTAATGCGCATCCTGCAAAGTAGCCAATGATGGCTGGAGTACTTAGTCTCCTGCTACTCACATATCAGTCTCAGACTGATATCCAGACTCCTGGCTTTGGCTAGGCCAGCCCTGGCTGTTACAGACGTTTGGGTAGAGAGCAGGCTGACAGATTCTCTCCCCTCATCTGACTCTGTCTCTCTCTGTAATTCAAGTAAAATGAAAATGAACAGTCTATTGTTGACATGTAAGAGTGTAAAGTACTGGAAACAAGTTTTAAAGGTGTCTAATTTAGTACAGACCCTTAGAGTCATAAAAGAAATACTGTAAAAGAAGCTATTCTTAAAGCCGAAATCACAAAATTATGAAAACACTTCTGGTGGAATACTCAAAGTAAAACAGTTTCTGCGGAAAAATTTCATCTATATTTGTTTTGCTCAATTTGTGTTCCTATGAGGCATATATTTCATAAGGTGCTTGTTGGACAAAGTTACTTGGTTAATCCATTTTAGAAAAATGTTCTCTAGATACCTTCTTTTAGAGATTTTTATATTCCATGAAAGTACTGAGTAAAGAAACATCTTTAAGTTAATTTAAGCCAGAATTTCCCCAAGTCATTTTAAAGAAGTCTTTCTTTCATAACACATATAACTTTGCCTTCAAAAGCACTTAGGAAGGGACAGGCATTTGGCACAGGGGTTAGGGCAATGCTTTTATGGGCAGGTGGATATTGTGGGACAGTGGGTTAAGTTGCTACCTACAGCCATAGCATTTTGTATGGACACTGACTTGTGTCCCTCATGTTCCACTTCTAATCCAGCCCCCTGCTAGTGTGCAAGGACAACAATGGAAATTTTGTTACTTTGAACATCAAAGTTATTCTGTCTTTTTGAATTCAGAGTCAACAGTTGGAAGAAGATGGTGGCAGTAATTTGGAATGTTAAAAGTCACTTTAACATAGTGATTAGCAATCAATGACAAATGTGCTCATTGAATTACACTACCTAGTAATTTGATCTCATCCTGGTGGTACTTAGGGCAACATTCATTCCATTGGCTTCTGTCAGTAATACCTGTTAAACAGGAAGGTAAAATCTAAATCTAACTAAAAATTAAAATTATGAGTGGTTCTGTAGACTAAGAACTTTCTTTCATTGCTGTGTCTTGTGTAGCACCTAGGTGTTTAGTAAATCCCTATTGAGTCAAGGAAAACATTTAAATATTTCCTCAGTTGTTATTGTTGCTTTTAATGAAAAAGTTGACCTTGGTGATTCTTGTCATTAGATTTGAAATACTCTGAGTGCAATAGTTTAACAGAGTGCTCCTTACTCTGGTGCACATAGGCATAGTAAAATAATCCTTCATTGTTATAATAGTCAATGTCATTAGCTATCAAATCAGACACTATGCATCTAGCTACAGCTCTTCCTCAGAAGAAGTCTGTGACAATTCCATACTATCTTTAATATACCTTGCTACTTCAGCCATGGTATATTATTCGGAAGAATGCCATTTTATTCAAAAAGATGTTGCTTATTTATTATTTAAAATCTCTCTATCACTTCTTTGCCTTTTGGCTAAGATCACGTATATTTAAAATCTCTAATATTAATCTTTAAAGATTCAGCTGTTACTTTTAATAATGTAACCCTAATCATTAAAACTTGTTTGCAGCAAGTCTGTTAATGCTAAATGTTACATTGCTGCCAGCACACTGAAATATCCAGTTTGTGTGTGTGTTTTGCCATGTTAATCATCATTAAATATGACAGTGTTGATGATCTAAGCCTGAAAATTTTCCATGAAATAGAGAAGCTTCTCCATGTGGAAAGCCAGCTCCATCAGCACTTTGACTTACTCATCAAAACTTCATCTATCTTGATGCACCTTATTTTAGTAAGTTTCATGGGAGCCTTTCATCAAAAAGGAAAAAGTGGGTGGACATTTAATTATAATACTTCCCTACAACCTACGAAGCTGATTGTTCCCACTTGCAAAATGGTGAGCCAGATTTAGCCGAGCCTTGGTGCCAAGCAAGAAAGCCTCAGAGAGACTCTTGTGGTTTGCAAGAAGTGCTAATTTACTAATATCTTTGCTGTTTGACAAGATGCTGTTCAAGTTTCACACTTTGCTTTAATTGATCATCTGTTATCAAATAAGAAGATGTCTAATCATAAATAAAAACAGCTTTTAAGAGTCCAATTCTCTTTTTCCATTTTCTCCTTCTAGAAAAGAAAAAAACTAAAAAAATAAAAAGAACAAACCCATATTTACACTTGTGCACAACTAACAACTGTTCTTAGCAAGTATCTTGGCAGCTTTCTCCTCTTTTGATGTGAAAGATTGTTAGAGCTAAGTCAGGAATGCTTTTGCTTTTGTAGTCATTGGTGTTAATGCCCACTCCTTGCTAATCATCTTAATCCTCTTGAAGCTAAAAAAGACCTGGCTTTGTCTCTTAAAACCTGCAGATTCCTTCCCGTGTTTGGGATATTTCTTTATAAATTTCTATATATGGCCTTTTGAGTATATAATAAAGGAAGTGATTTAGTTGTATAGAAAATCATAGACTTTATAGATATTTTCAAATAGAATATTAATGTTCTGGAATTCAGAGAAGAGATAGTATTATGTAAGAATCAGCAAGAAATAAACAATACTTAAATGAAACCAAAGTTCAATACTAGGCAATAGTTTGCTTTGATAACATAGAGCTCCATGTGAAGATAACAGAATGGACGCATGTTCCTGTTGGCAAGAACAGAAGTGAGGTACAGAACAGAAGTGGGGTACAGACAGTTGATGAACAAACACGAATATTTGGTTACCAAGGTGAAAAGGTTGGACTCCATCTCATAAAAATGAATTCAGCAATGGAATTGAGAGCTGCAATAGTCTCTCCCAGGAAGGAATCTAAAAGTAAATCATATTTTAGCAGTGTCTATATACAAGTTATAGTGTATCTTGGAATAAAAAAATCCAACCTCCAATAATTGATTCTAGTGTTAGAAATAGATAGAAATTTAAAAGGGACTACATTTAAAACCCAATTATTATACATCAAAGAGAGAGAATTATACTTAAAAAAAAAGGTTTATTTATTTATTGTGAAAATCAAAGTTAGAGGGAGAGATAGATAGATACATAATGGAATAGAGCCAGACAGAG